CAACAAGATGTGACAATTTGTTCTGCTCCCAATTGTCTCAATAAGAAAGACTCATCATTGTCCTGTTTTTTTTTTTTCTTATTTATGTTTTCTACCTAGTTTTGAATTGTTGATGTAGAGTATAACAATGGATAAATGTCCATATCAAGTGTGATAGAAGTTACTAAACCAAATACTAAGCATACTGACACAATCAACTTCAGGATTTGGCATATGAACCTGTGGAAGTGTTCAAGGGCTCTATTGCATGGTTGAGATGCAATCAAATGTATTAAATTCTAATGAGGCAAGCAGCGTAGATGTAAAATTATAGTGGTACAGGTAGGAGTGATTAGGAGCTAGGAGCTAGGAGTAGGTGGTAAAACTAAACAGCAAACCTAACTCAACAATTCAACCCAACCTTAGCAATCCTACCAAAAACACAGTCAACTGCAAGTCCAGTAGAACCTCTTTATGGAATTCAATTGGAATCCCCATGATAACTAAGCAATATTTCACACCTCTCCACTTTCACGCCACCCGAATTTCTAGCCTACCTAACTCAGCAATTGACCTAGAGAATAGCTCCGTTCTGGGGAATGCTCCGCAAACTACAAATTCAAGCAAGGTGTAAACTTCGTCCAGCTAGAAAATCTCGGATGATCACACAAGAAGCGTGTACAAAAGAGCATCTGTAGGGGAATTTCGCCTGTGTGGCCTCCTGAAAAAGAACAGGTGAAGGAACGCACAACTGCAAGAGTATAGTACAAATTCAGCTCCGATGCATAAATAAAAGGCCATCCATGTCTAGGACGGCGCCTCCCACCCGACCAGAGGACTGGTGTGTCAAGTCAAGCATAGCAAGCAGCAACTACTACTCTACATCAATAAGGACGCATTAACAGCCACGCATCGCTCGTGAAAAGCTTCAACCATGGGTTGTAGTACATGTACATCTAGCACTAGCAGTCCACAAGCAACAAAGGCAGTAGAAACAAGACCCTGTTCCTTCAGCCCTGGGCAACAAACAGCCCCGTTCCGTTCCGTACAGCCGACCGACTCCTCCGGGAGATGCAGAAAGTACCAGTAAAAGGAGGGATTCAGCAGGCAAGCACGCGCGCGAGCAGCAGCCGCCTACATCGCCAGCCAATCGAGCTAATTAATCAAGCGAGCGACACATGCGGAGCCGAGCCCCGCGCGCAGGAGGAGCGGTAAGAGCCGGAGCCGCGCGGAGGATCGGGGGGCAGCGTGTTCTTCGGGGGATTAGTAAAGGGGAGGGGGAGGGGGGAAGTACGCACCGCTGTCGCCAATGAGCAGGAGCTTAATCAGGTGGTCGTAGTCGCCCCGGGACCTCGACGGCGGCGCCGCCATGCTCCTCCTCCTCCTCCGCCTCGCGCTCGCTGGCGGCGGTCTCCGGGCTCCCTCTCTCTCTCTCTACGACCGAGGAAGAGGAGGTGGAAGCGAGGGGACGGAGGCGAGGCGAAGCAGGCAGCAACAGCCAACAGCGAGAAAGGATTCAGTCAGGAGGTGGGGGAGGCGGCGTCCAGCTGTACGCGACGAGCGAGAGAGGGGAAACGGAACAAGACAACGAGGGAGGACGGGAAGGAGAGCTGGAGGTGGACTGTACAGTATCTGTATGTACCAGGACGGTAGAGTATTTTTGTACTCTTGCCGCCGCGCCGCGCGGGCGTCGCGGTCCCCATCGCATCGGCCAGTGGTGCGCTGCTGCGTTGGATTGGTCGGGTCTGGTTGGTTGGACCTGGCGGCGGCGGCGGCGTACAGCGGAACGGAACGGGCGTTGCCAGTTTTGTAGTTGCCTTGCCTGCCGTTTCGAAACTGCCAAATTGGGGCTCGGAGCGATGGTTGCAAGCCAAAAACTGAGGGGGCTCAGTAGCTGTGATTTGGCTCCTCCCGTCACTCAGTCTGTTTTTTTATTGGTCTCATCCATGGCTTATCAGCTAGCTACAGAGTTTTTCTCTCATAATAAATCAACACCAGTCAGACTTATCAGTCAAGAAACTAATCAACGAACAGTCCGACTGATTCACTACCAACGGAACGGGGATCCTTTGGGACCCAAGAGGATCAAAGTCCAGTTCTCATTCCGTTGTCACGTGGCCTGTTTGATCCAGAGCTAATAGTTAGCTGCTAATAATTAATTCTTTTAGTTCTAATCAGGTTTAGCTAATACCTCATAGTATTAGCTGCTATTAGCTAGTTTGATCTAATTACCGAAATCAATCTAGTGAAGGGTATTCAGCTAACAATTAGCTAGACCCGTTTGAATGCAATGAGCTAATTATTAGCAGCTAACTACTATCTCTATGGATCAAACAGGACCTTAATTAACAACTACCTTACTAGTTGACAAAAACAGCTAGCAGTTACCTGACGAGTAATATTAATTATGAGTTATTAGTTAGCTAACTATCAGCATGCATGGATCTGTCTAAAACCCCCCTATGTATGCTTCATTTTACACCCCGTGAATCAAAATGAAACAAACATAACTTAATCCGAGTAAAATTAATCCATAATAACTCGATAAATACACATACACCAGCAGTCTGGGACAGGGAAACGAGCAACAGACTGCAATGAGTCAGCACCGAGCCATGGAAACAACAGCTCAAAAGTACTGCCTCTGTCAAAAAAAAATGCAATTATGAATTACGTGCCACGTAAAATGATTTATGTTTGACAAGTTACTAGTAAATAGTATTCACGTTTATGACCCTAAATTAATTTATTATGAAAATATATTTTATAATTAATCTAATAGTATTTATTTGACATTATAACTATTGATATTTTCTTATCAATAATTAGTTAAACTTAAGATGCTAAAACGTAACACTGTTCTAGAATTGAGAAAAGCAACACACGCCCTTTTGGACTGGAGGCCACTTGCAGAAACACAGCCACTGTCCTGGCTTGTACAACAACACACGCTTTTTACTTTAACAGGTGTTCTGGGAAAATGAAAAAAGTTCGTGGTAATATGCTTGTAGCACACCTTATTTCCCATTCCTTAGCAAGGAGGTTCTCATAGAGTTCGGTACATTCAAGCATCCGACTTTACTCGGGTGAACAATGGGAAAAACAAAGCTCGCTCCCATCGTGCAACCCATCCATGCGCCACCGTTAGAGACGCTTCAAAGATTATCTTACATGTTCATGACAAATCCGTACTTTTGACCCTGTTCGTTTTTCTTATAATCCGTACTTTTTAGTTTATTTTTTTCAGCCGGAACAGTATTTTTCTCTCACAACAAATCAGCTGGAACAATGTTTCGGCTTGTTTTTTCAGCGACGTGAACAGGGCCAAAATTGGCCCAAATTACAAGGACAACTCACATATACCAGGACCTGAGAAACATCGTATGGTATGACAGCTGCAGATACAGCAAGCCATAGTCAAAGTTGCAATAATTTGTGCATTGTTCTTGTTCGATTACTCCTTGACCCAGCTCATCATAACGGCCACCAAGACCTCTTACCCTCAGTTCTATATTTCCTTTACATATTACCTTGCAATATAGGTAAAGTGTTTTGTTTACACACAGATGTATCCGATTGGTCCAAGTCAATTGCCCATCACGGTTTTGGAGATACAAAAGCTACGAGGTTTACATTTGGTCAAATAGTAACTCTGGACATTTTTAAATTTATTTTATTTTATTAATGGTGCATGTAAGTCCTATGCACATGCTCCACCAAGCAAAACTAGAATGTTCTGTCCATCTTGTCATAATAAAAGATAAAAAGATTCAAAAGGACCATGGCTTCGATGGTTAAAAACACAAAATAAAAGCTGCCATACATGGCTCGGCAGTTTACACATGTGTCTGGGATTCACCGAGTGAGAGATAACCCGAATTTGTTGTCTTCAAAAGCTTAAGATACTCGGTATCGAAGGCATATGTTAAGTATGCTTCTGAAAATAAGAATGTATGCTATGGAATAAACTACCACTGAATAAAATAACCCGTTAAAAAATTGGCTGAAACCTTGAAGGTTGCCCTGCAACCTGGCGAGTTTAGCTGAAACTACAATCAGATCTTAAAGCCATATTGTAAATAGTAATAACTTAACTGAACCATTTCAAGTCTTCATATTTACAAATGAACTCCTTAGGCATCTCCAGAGCACCTGCGAACTTCTAACTATCTGGTTGGGGCCGAAAGAGAGCACGATTACTGGCGTGCTGTCTCACCCTGTCACCCACTGTTGTAGCTAACTAGGGTCAATTTTTAGCATGTGAGACTCAAGGAGGATAAACTATGTATGAATTAATCCCAGGTAATGGACATTACTTTAACCTTCTAACTTCTTGATTACATGGGACTGGCACTATAGATGAGGGTCAAATGCTACTCATTCTTAATTGCTACTTTCTTTTCTTTTGAACTATGCCATCATTGTTATCTCATATTGCAACAGTCTGGTCTTCCTTCCAGTAACTTTTGCCACATGCATAACATCAGCCTTGGCGATTGGTAATGAGCAGTATAGTAGTCAGGGACGCATCCAAATGGACAGAATTTGTCGCTGTGAATGTATTCAACAGGTCTTGTCCTATTGAACTGCTCAACCCACAAACCCAAGCTCACGTCTTCCATTTTGAAGAGCTGCATAGAGAGTAATAGTAAATTAGCTTCTTCATTACTCTGAATTACCATTATGAACTCTATACTTGTAGAAAGATAGTTTATCAGTTTTCAAACAAGAGATTAAATCAAGGCTCATACACAAGTGTTATCTCCAATTAGCCTACTAGTCAGCAAATATTTAAAGAATCAAATAAAGCGTGTAGGAACCAATATAAATAATCCATTGTCTCTCTGTTCCTTATATTGACACATTGGCTAATCTGCTATATATAAAAACTAAAAAGTGGCATTTTGGCAAATTTGTACTCCGTATTCGAAGTGCTATTTTGACAAGTGTCTGACATTCAAATGGCACTTTCGTGAACTGTAAAAAAATAATGCATGGAGGGCCTGTTTGTTGTGATGATTCTACGGAGGATATTTTCTCAAGAGGAAAATATAAGATTGTACCGTCAACTTTTGCTTCATGAATTCTGACATGATAAATTCAGCAATATCAGATGATATAACATATCCAGGGCCATTCGCATATGACGGATACACCTCTTCTGGCCACTCCTGTGAAGTGATAAACAAGATTAACAATATCCACACTATAAATTAAAACTAGTGTCAAAAAGAGCATCAAGTGTAAGCTAAAACATTTAAGCTATATCCAGTCACAACTCACAATATGCTATCAAAACATGTACGAACAAGATACAATAGCCCAGCTTCTGTAAACATATTCCGTAATGCTGACTTGTTAGCTAAGTTGCACGGATACGGATACGTGTATCGGTATCGGAAGGATACGGATACGCGGATACGGCAATTTCTCAAAAGACCCGATACGCGGATACGTTTACTATTTAAAAAATAAAATAAAAATAAGAATAATGTGGACCACAGAAACAGCAGCATCCACTCAGGTCCAGCCCAGCGACGGCCCACCAAAGTCCACGTAAAGAGCAGACTTCACTTCAGTCAGCCCCCAGCGGCACCACGCCACCACTCGTGACTTCAGCCAGCCCCAAATCCCCAATCCGCTCTCAGGTCCTAACCCTAGGCCAGCCTCGGAGCGCGGCGCGAGCAGCTTCAGGCGGCGCGGCTTCCGGCGAATCGGCAGTCGAGGCCGACGGCAGCGGCTCGTTGGGCCAGGCGAATCGGCGGCAGTGCGATAAGCAGCTCGGAGCCGAGAGCGGCGTGGCGGTACCTGTGAGGCGAATCGGAGAGCTCGGAGCTCGGAGCCGAGAGCGCCGAACGGGGATGTCGCGGATGCGGGCAGCGGAGCGTGCGGCATCTGCGACCCTGTCGATTTGTTCCTCACTTCCTCTTCCTTTTTCTGCTCTCCCTGTCGATTCGTTCTTCTCTAGGGCGTCGAGGGCAGAGGAAGGGTTGTTTACTGGGCTGGGACGTATCCACAAGGCTGATACGTATCAGCCCACGTATCCATAATTCGCGAAAATAAAAAAAAAATTGGATACTCCGAGGATACGTATCCTGGGCGTATCGGACACGTATCCGTATCCGATACGTATCTGATACGCGATACGCGGCTTCCTGGACGTATCCGTGTAACATAGCTTGTTAGATGAGGAACTCTACAACATGAGTATGGGTCTGACTGACCATAAAATGCTATCATGCTGCCTAGATAGCTAAAGATGTTAACAGCTAAACAATAATGCAAAGAATCATATGCCAAGTCTCCAATAATTGACCTTCGAGGGGCCTGTCGTCACATGCAGACATGCAACAAGTGATTTTCCAATTCAGTTTACAAAGACTGATAACTTATTATATGAACAAATAAAGAACAATATGGTAATTTCCAAATAAATGTATCGGGGAAGGCATCCAACATCCCCATCTTGACAAGGATATACTATGGTTTCAGTGCACAAATCTCTGAAGATAATGTGACATTGGGTGACAGAAGAGAGAAATAGAATTCCAATTCACTTATTGTGAGACAAATTAGTTGCATTCGAAACAGAATAAATGTTAAAGTAAATAAAACAAAGAAATGCTGCAAACTCTGCACTTCCACAAAAAAATTGCAAACACACAACCCAATGTTAAAAGAATTCAATATCAACTATATCACTATATGAACATAGGTTTAACCAGTCTTATCACAGTTAACACATCAGTCCAGTACAGAACTACAGATGAACATAGCTTTTATGGAATCATGACTGCAAAGAAGTAATTTAGCTTTTGCTCCAAGTTGTATAAGAAATGTTAAGGTGGTGCTTGAAGAATGAAATCTAATAACTGCTACGACAAACATTTCATAAGCTTCACCTCATAAGTCACGGCCCATTTCCCATGGCGTAGCGGCTTGTGTTGTACATTCATACTCCCCATGTAAAGACTTCTCCCACTTGGTACCTTCTTAATTTCAGTGACTACTGAATCAATTCTCACGAAAGTATCATCATCGCACTTCATTACATATTTAGCAGAGACAACATGAACCTGAGCAACCAAGTTCACTACTGTCAGAAAAATGTGAATACAACAGCTACAGTACTCCAAAGACGATTTAGTTCAAATAGCACGAAATTCTCTGCCATACCCCATACTCGCATATTGCAAGAGTCTTCATAACAACAAGATCATAGTTGTCCAGGTAGGGCACAAAAACAATGTCACCAAAAAATTCAGCTTCCTTCTTCAGCTCCACATTCACTTCCTTTCTGCCATGCTGGAGTTAAGAAACACCTTCAGCACAAGCACACAAAACAAATGAAGTAAGCTAAGCCTTTGGGATTACATCGAAGTGTTTACCAGTGCAACGAAAAAACGAGCCACCCTGTTTGGTGACTTGTGGACAGCAGACATCCATGTCTTCCTCACACCCATACGCTCAGCAAAATGATTGGCTGATGACAGGATGCCAATGAAAATCTCAACTGGCTCATCAGGCAGCGGAGGGGCCTGCCAAACAGTAGAAAACTCCAGATAATTCTGCGGCGCAAAGCTTGGGTGTGTAGTGGGCAAAGACCCTGCAATCACTGAATGCACATCGAGGTCCCCATTCAGTGACAGGCCTGTAGCGTCCTCCAGCACAAACCCCTGCAAGGGCCACAGGAAACATAAATTAACTGGACAAGTAGAGGCCAAGTACTGATAACCTCAACTGTCCCCAACCACTAATTATTTGAACTAACAGCAATAGATAGTGCACGGCAATTAACAAGCATTCCCCAACATTTGAACTAACTGCATGAAGTGGGAAACATATGCACTTACAGTGCGGTAAGGAAACGAAGTGACATGTCGCCCATCAACGCTCACATGGTAACCCTCCAACCCAGCACTGAGAGTAAGAACAAACAGCTGGCCCTCCACGAAAGGAAATGGCCAACCGAAATTGACCTCCTCCTTCTGCCCGATCAGCCGATTCAGCAACCATGCTGCTGTCTTTGATGTTGTCTTCGATTCCTCCAACCTGTCATCATCATCCCTAATCCACTTCTCGCACTTCACCAACCCATCCACTGCACATCAACAAAGACATTCATTCATTCAGCATGTTCTGAACAACAGAATCCACCTGAGGTCGGTCAAACAATTGAAAACAAATGAACTGACAGGGGTCCCCAACCAGTCTCCTCATCCGGGCGTGACCTCCACCCATCGCATCGCTGCGCGGCGCCCCAGTTCATTCGGTAGCAGGTGTTCTGCTCGATCACGGGGCGGCCGCTCCAGTCCCCGCGGAGGCGCGGGTTGAAGTGGAGCACGCGGGGCGGGTCCTCGCCGTCGACGGCCCTGAGCCCCTGCAGCTCCACCATGAACTGCGACACCATGGCGGGCCGCTCCCCGTCCCTGAGCACCGCGATCGCGGGGTTCCGCTCCTCGTGCGGCGCCCGGGGCGACGCGGCGACCGTGACGTGGGACCCCAGCGCGAGCCCGCAGGGCAGCTCCACCACGCGGCGGCCCCCCCGCGCGCCGAGCTCCTCCGCGGTGAGCGCGATCGAGTGCGGGCACCTGGTGGCCGTGGCCGCCGCCGCAGCGCCGGAGGAGGGCGCCGCGACGGCGGCGGCGGAGGGGTCGAGGCCCTCGAGGTCGGCGAACGCGCGGGCGCCCGCCGCGACGGCGTCCGCGACGGACCGGCGGAGCGCGCCGGAGCGCGGGGAGTCGAGGAGGCGGACGTCGAGGCCCGTGGCGAAGCGCGAGAGCCGGCGATCCTGTCCGGCGCGCGCCGACGCGCCGCCGGGGACGGAGACGGACGCTCTGCCCGCCACGGGGCGGGGCTCCTTGACGTGGCGCGCGGGCGCCCCGCGCTCGCCCGCGCCGAAGGAGAGGTGGAGCTTCCGCGCGGCACCGGCCCCGGCGCCGCCGCCGGAGAGCGAGGTGGAGACGAACGGCGACTCCAGGGCGAGCACGAGGACCGCGTAGAGGAGCAGCACGGCCGCCAGCCCCTCCATCGCACTTCGGCGGAAGGAAGCCCCGGCCCCGGCCCCCACCCCCGCCGACGCTGCCTGCTTCCTCATCACTCGACGCAGTAAGAAACCAACCCTAGCCCCACCACTCGACGGCGTCGCGGGCGCGCGCTGCTACGGCCTAGTCGCGGCCGCGCGGCGGGGGCGAGGGCGGGTGCGGGTGCCGGGACGGAGCATGAGGAGGAACGACGGGGCGGGCGGTTTACTTGTAAATAAAAACAATGGCGAAACGGGCGATTAATGAGCTGCTTCTAAAAGACGGGGTTGCTTTTGAAAGGATTTGATTATTGCTTAGCAGCGATCCTCCCCTTGGAGGCCTCGCTAGATAGCTGATCGTGGCGTGTTTAGGAATGGGATTACTCGATACGCCGCCGCGACGGCGGTGTGGCCGGTGCGGTCCGGTGAGCGGCTGGCGTTCCGCGTTGGGTTGAGCCGGAGGGGGGATGTGGCGCGTGGACTCAGACCGACGACGAGGCAGGGGGGCGCGGCACACGCGACCGAGAGGCGGGGGAACACGTTGTCCAGGCGTATGCCGCTGTTGCTTTGGGGCAACGACGTGGACTGCGTGACGTGGTCAACGTACGTCGCTAAGAGAAATAACGTTAGCGGTTCTACTTTTTTAATTATATATTATATATAATCACAAAATTTGTTATAATAGCTATGGTTTGGTCCAACGCGCCAATTATTTGTAAACCGATGGAGTAAACTTTTTGTACTAAAATAGCTTTACTTTGGTGTACTTGTTGTGTTCATCATTATGCAAGGGGAAATTTACTTACTCCCGTATCAACGGAAACATTTATTTATTTTTTCTTCGTATTAATTGCTACCTCCCCCCACCCCTTTTTCCAAAATTGTAGGTTCTTTAGTTTTATCCAAATCAAACTAGTTTAATTTTGATCAAGTTTATAGAGAATGGATCAACTCTAGCGCATATCAAAGTAGTTTCATTCAAAAAAAGAAACTATTATTAGAGGCGGTGTCACTGTGTGTCTCAACCTCTTCGTCTCTATTAATCATCAAGGGATACACTAGTAGTCTCTACAATGCCCGCCTTCATTAATAAGGAAACAAAGGAATAGTCTGTGTGTTGTTGTACGTGGGCAATTCCGATTTCATGGTCCTTCCTCTTGTTTAGATGAACTGCGGTCCATTATTCCTTTGTGTTTCGTTTTGGTTTGAGGTAGTCTTGCTAGCTTCTTTTGAGTTGTTGTAATGTCTTAACACGGCAGATTAGGGAAACACTATATATCAGGTACTTGTTTTTTCTTTTCATCCGGGCAACAAACCAGGACCGTTGGATCTTCATCATGTGGCTACGGAGTTGTCTTCAACAACCTCCAGCAGTTTGGCTTCTTCCAGTGCTCATGGCTGCAACGCTCGCCCCCGCCTCCCGCTGGCTTGCCCTGTCAATGACGACCTCCCGGCCATCGTGTCCAACCCCGCTATCCCCCGCCGTGCTAACCCGGCATTGCTAGGCCATAACCTGGCTCCCCCGCTGTTGATGGTCACTAATACATATTTTTACCATCAACATTCCACCCAAAAGCATGATAAAGTGAGGTAAATCATCATCATACATGTTGCATTTTGTTTATAATTCACCTAGTTCCACTTGTGCTTGTAGAATTATTTATGCAGAAAAATATAGCAATAATATGCAAAAAGGTGACAAATATGGACATATGAACCAAGTGGACGTGGCAGTGGGGCCAGAGTCCCACATGCCACGCCGGCTCGCTCCACAAGGGGGCCGTCCAGTGTGCCATGTGGCCTGGCCACGTCACCGATCCGTGGGAGCTGCTCGAAGCAATGCCAAGCGTTTATCTAAGTCGGGTTTGCACCGATGGACGAGATGGAGTTGACGTAGATCCACTGGCCCACCGTCGTACACTTGGGAGGCTCCAACCGATTTACAAACTGCCTTACCTACCGAATTTCGACATGTGCCAATCCTACAACCACCTTTGGGAGCCAACCAGCACCGGAGGATCAAGAGGCGGTGGATCCAAGGGCCGCCCGGTGGCCCCTAGCCGTCGCCCGGTGCCCTAAGGTGGCCACCGACCTCATGGCTGCCTACAAGTACCCCCTCACTCTACACTACAAATATGGGGTGTGGAGCTCGGTGGAGAGGTACCCCCATTCATTTCCAAGCTCTCCAAGCTTTCTAGCTTAGCTTAGCTTTAGAGTAGTAGTCTAGTAGTGGAAGCAGAGCAAGAGCGAAGCATCTCTCGGAGTCCAGAAGAGTATTTTGGGTCTGGTATAGCTCTTTTATAATTCTTTCATTTCGTATTTACTTTATTCAGTACTTTATTTCTAGTACTTTATTCTAGTATTATTGCTTTACTTAGTTCAAGTTCTAGTTCATTATTGTTCATCATTAGTGAGCTTAGGTGCTTGTTACTTGGCATTAGTAGCATAGGTTATCTCATTATTAGTAGTCTTTCGTTAGTACCGGTTCCACTGTCTAGTTATAGTACTTTGATCTCATTTCATTGGAGCTCGGATCGAAGTAGTAAAAGCCTATAGATTAAGCGAGGTGCTTAGGCTATAGATTACCTGTGGATACGGCTAGGCCTCCGGATAGATTGTGGTAGTTGGCAAGTGGTGACAGCCTTGTCCATCCTCTGTATTCCACCACGTTAGGTCTAGTTATTAAATCGTAGGGCTCGTGGTAGACCTTATTTATTTAACTCTCTGAGTTTGTAGGCGGACTGTGCCCCGAAGTACTAGCGTATTTCTCCTAGTCATTTGTTTACCCTAGTTACTGAAAGATAAATCGCTTGCTCTCCTACCTAGCTATCTCTAGTGTAGCTTGTTTAGTAGTTTAGTAGGTAGTTCACACACAAACCACCATTATCGTTCACCTACCTAGGATACACTTAGGCTTCCCTTTAGCAATCCTAACTAAAAATATAAGTTCTAGCCTTCCACCTGAAGGCTCTAGTTTGGTTTTGGTAAATTGATAAAACCTTATGTGCTAACCTTTGCTCTAGTGATCATGAGATAGTGTTTACACCAAAATTTAGAAGAAGAGTCGTAGGGACTCGAAAACTCCCAAGATCATGTCATCAAGGAATCAATTACATGCAGATCGAAACTAGCTGATTCGAATGCAGCGTTGGAATCGGCTTTCTTCAGGTAGCGCCAGTAGATAACGACAAAGGCTACGATCGGCGCCGGGACAAAACATGTTGGACTCTAAAAAAGGGAAAGATTAGAGTCCAAGTTATCTTAAATTAGGAATGTTTTCTCTTAGGGCCAAAGATTATGACGAGTCGTGCTTAGATAGGAGTCATGCGTAGGTCCCGGGTATAAATATCAAACCCGACTATTGTAAAGGACACACAATCAATCAAATACAAGTTATTTATTTTTTTGGCTCCGGTCACCCCTTAGGAGTAGGAGTAGAGTAGATCTCATGAGTTCTTGACAAGTATGGTGCATCGATCCGGTCGACCTCCACTTTGCTTGTCCTGTAAGTACCGTCATGGCTTATATCTCTGTCAGATGCAATTTGCATCGATCCGGGTCGACCTCCACTGCGACTACGGTATAAGTTAGTTATCGACTCTTGTCTAGTTCAAGTAAGGTTGCATCGATAAATTTAACCTCCATTGCTCGAAC